TTGCAGACTGAATTTTATTTAGAGTTTGTCAGTGATTCGAACTCTTGGTTAGGCGAGTTATTCTAGTTTCATTTGGTGCAGTCTGAAAAACCCACTCTGCTGTGCTTTCTGTCAGCTTCCCAGCATGACGAGCAGGCCTGAAAACAGCCTCTATTTATACCCCCTTGTTCGGATTTGGAGAATCAGTTGTTTCACTGGAGAGGGGGAGAAAGAGAGGAGAGCGCAGGCAGTTGTCAGGGAGTGTGCTTTGTATGTTATCGTGACTTCAAAATAAAACTGGCACATTTTAGTGTCTAATTATTTTTAGTGAGCTTGGAGGGTTTTAATTAAAATTTAAGAGTGCTCTTCAAGCTCTCCAAGCTCCAATTTTATCCCACTGTATCTGAAGCACTTATCACTGTGGAAAAATGTACAGTAACTGGCATGTTCATCTCTGTTTCCTAATGAAAAATGTGGGATTGGATGATAAGCAGGGATATAAATATATATTGTCAGAATTACTTGTAAACCAAGGTCAAGGGTACCTTTGACAAATTATTGTTCTTGGATACAGAGAAAATTTATTGCATTTGAAATAGATGATTCCTATGGTAAAAATAAAATGAATTGTTTGAACATTTTCTTAAAAGAGTTAATAAAGAAGTAGGAAATCCGCATACAAGGGCAGCAGCCATTATTTGTTCTCACTCACTAAAATATTTTAAAGGTATTTTCTATATTATGTTTCTGATGTTGTAGCATTTTAAAATTTAAATATCACTTTGAGGTAAAGGGAATAATAAGTGTTTACTCACAGGTAAATTATTTTCAAGTACAATAATTTGTTTCCATTCCCCCATGCTTTAGTTTTAGCGATGATTTTTTAATTTATTCTGTTTGACCCATTTGAAATATCTTTATTTTGCTGCAAGTTTGTTTAACTATATGTAATTTAGAATTATTTCTAAAAAATATCATCATGTAGATTGGGAAATAAATATCTCACATACTTTCACTTTGAATTTCTCTTGTACTGTAAAACTAATTCTTAGAATGATAAAGCACTCTTACTTACCTGGACTGAAACCTAGGTGCTTAGGAAGCAGGAACATTGCTTTGCAATCCATTATGCAGGATATTTATTAAAAATTAGTTCTGAATTGCCTTTCCTTGTTCCCTAGAAAAAGTTTCTTGAAAAACTTAAATTTGCAAAGAGAAAGAAAAAACAAAAGCTATGCAACTGAGAATTAATTAATAACATATCAAAAACTTTTTCATCCTTGATTAAAATATAAGTGAGAACTGAGGTCCAGCTCTTGATTTTTGATAGTCCTTTTTAAATCACATTATTTACAAAAATGAGAAAAGATAAATGTAATAAGATTATGTATTTTATTGACTGTGTATTGGCTTTTGGAAGCTAATTCTTTCAAAGTTAGAGGGAATAATTTGGGTATTTTTCATTGAGGTATGTGGCTTACATTCATTTTATAATATGTACATATAATGGTGACTTGAAAAAAAAATACCATAATGTTATAGTTCCTTATCTCAATTTCCAAAGGTATGTAGCTCCTTTCCTGTTTTTTAGCTGAAGACAACTCAGTCAAAATACTAAAATTTAAATAATCAAGCTCAGATAACGAAACATGCTGTATATTGTTTTATTGTTTTGAGGACTGTGGCACCACCATAACTATATTAGTTGTTTTCAAGTCAATCACATAAAGTACATTTATCTGAGTAAAATAATCCAAGAATATCTGGGCGTTGTTCAGTCCTTTCTTGCCATTTGGAATCCTGCCTGCCTACTGAGTGACAGCCACTGTGCATGGGTCTACCCTTTCCATGTCCATGACGCTCACTGCATTTCTTCACTTATTTTGACCTCAGTTTTTGCATCGGCGCTTGGGGCAGTCTGATCTAAAAGTTTGCCTCTGCCCTGGTCGGTTTGGCTCAGCGGGTAGAGCGTCGGCCTGCGGTCCGGAGAGACCCGGGTTCGGTTCCCGCTAAGGGCATGTACCTCGGTTGCAGTTTGTCCCCGACCCTGGTTGGTCGTGCGGGTGGCAGCCACGCGATGTGTCCCTTTCACATCGATGATTCCCTCTCTCTCTCTTCCTCTCTCTCCCTCCCACTCTGTCTGTACAAAAAATGGAAAAATGTCCTCGGGTGAGGATAAAAATAAAATAAAATAAAATAAAAATAAAAGTTTGCCTCTGTAAAGCTAGTGTCCTAGTAATGTAGTTGAAGCATGTGGCACAAGGAGGATTAATTTCCACCCTTACTTGGATATTGTTCTGAGTAGGAAATCTTAAAATACAAATTTTGATTTATGAGTTTATTGCATATTTCCTCTTTTTAAGTCAGAAACCTCTCTGTGGCGACAGTCCTCTGCCTATGTGGTATTTGTTAACAATCTGCATTTTTGTTGTTCTTTTTCCCTCTCCACACTTGCTTTACATCCCAGTATGGAGTGAGCTTAGTACTAATTGTGGTATGCCCTTAGAGGTTTGGCAGTCAGATAATTAGGTGCAACGCGGGGAGTTTTTCAAGACTTCCTCAGTGTTTTTGACTGTCTCTGGAATCTCTGAGCATTGAGACTAAATGTTGATAAGGTTGTGTGTAGTGAGCTGTATTGTCCTACAGATAAAGGCAATCAGCGATTGTCGTGAAATATATTCATGAGCTATAATGGAACATGCAGAGGCTGCTTTACTTTTCCCCTGCAGTTTCTTCTACTGAAATAGGAATCATATTGCTAGATTAACTTAGTATTATGGTGAGGATTAATTTTCTAATAGGACTGTGAACTGCTTTGAAGTTATTAACCATTTTATTAACGAGTAGCCTTTACGTAAAGCTGTGTCCACATGGTTTGATTTATGTTTGAAGTTAGATTCCTGTTGTCCATATAGTTCTATTTTTCTCCCATGGAATTTAAGCATTCTTTTCCTGAAGCTCTGAAAGATTTCAGATCTATTTATAGAAACACGAGACATATTTTAGACTGTTTTACATTTATCGTGTTTCCAATCCTGGCTAATAAACTTGCTGTGAGTTTGTGATCATTACCAGTGAATTGGGCTTTTGTCTTTTACCTTTATTACATATGCTCTCAACTTAAGTTTTAACCAAAGAAGATATGCTTTAGCATTAACAGTTAGGTGTGATGTTATAATATGTATGAAAGGGTAAAAAAAAAAGAGTAACAAAACTAGGTAGGTAGGATAGGAAGTTGAAGATGTTGTTGTGTTGATTATTCTCATCCATGATCTGATGTTATATCAATCTCTCTCAGAAATGCAAACCCTATTTGCAAAATGTAATCTCTGACAGGCATGGCTTTGAAGATTGGCTCCATAACTTTCAAAACTCAGTGTTATCTTTTTTATGACTTCAGCACTAATACAAAATATGTATAGAACAAAGTGCACAGCTTGTTTCTGAATTTAAAATAAATGTGGCAAGAGACCATTCTGGAAATTAAATACAAACTGAACATATGTGTATGCATGTAGGCCCTATCAGAAGGTCACTCAAAATGCAGTTATTAATCACAGTGGTAGGTCATTTGTTGAAGCCAAAGAAAATTTTAGTAGGAAAGAATGGAAGGAAAGAAGTCAAATAGAGAAGGGAAGAAGTAAGGGAAGGGGCAGGGACCTTTCTCTTAATAGAATCAAGCTGGCTTCTATTTAGAAAGAACTTGAGCTTCTGTGATAGCGAGCTAGCACGGTTGTTCTTCATCAGCCGGTTGAGGACGCACTGATCTGCATTCCATCCATTCCTTGATTGATTGATCATGTCATGGACAAATGTTAATTGTTTTCACCAATACTTTCTAATCATGCAGTGGTCTTCTCATCTCTTACCCAGGGATCACTGTCTCTTTCTAATGCTTATCTAGTTTCTAAAACCCTTTAGATCCATCTTGACCTTACTGTCATTCTGAAAAATTCGAGGAGGATTTAGAAGTTGGAGGGAAAAAAAAGAAAGGAAAAATGTTGAAGAGATAGGTGTGATAGGGAGAGGAGAGGCATTTGGACATGGAGTAACAATTTAAATATAATTTTAAAAGGAAGTTATCAGAATTTTGACTCTTGGAATGTTCAAGTTTAATGGGAGAATGCGTCACACTCAGCATTTAGTATTTAAATCTGCCTTCATTTTTTTTTGGAAATATGGCCTATTGTTAAGATTTGAGGCTCAAAAGATACATGTAAATAGTTGTAAGCAGTAGCTCTAGTGGCAGATCCGTCTGAATAGAGAGGAAAAAGAACTCATTGAGAAAAATGTGGTAATTATTAGAATATTCTAAAGTTCAAATGTCTATAACCTTTATGAATCTTTATAGACAAAAGTGTAATCACTTCCTATAATCTAGTGGGCTCCTTAGAAAAGCAGCAGGGCAAAAATGTTTAAGTATTTTCTTGAAAAGAATATGTATCTCTTTTTATATAAAAGAAATGTGTTAGCAGTTTTCATTATCTTGATTTTCTTTTCTTTGTGTTTTGTTAGAAATGGGTATTTTATGAAATTTGCTATATGTTTATTATTATTTTTCTTAGGACATGTGGTTACAGGTTGATTGGTGTTTTCTCCCTCAAAGAATTGTCATCCTCCTTGAATAGTACATGAATTTTGCTTGGAATTAAGAAATAACCACCTCGGTTAAAAGAAATACTATCTAAACTTAAACCTGTAGGAAAGAGCACATTTTCTGTCCTATCTAAGAAATGCTACATGCTGAATTATAATTATAATGTCAAGATAAGTTGTTGAGCATTATCTTTTTTTCTTGGTAATCGTTTAAATAATCTGGTAAAAATAAATTTAGTTGTGGTATTTTGTAATACAGTAATGTAAGTGTCTATATCCTAGGGTTAAAACAACAACAAAAAAATAACTTTAATAATTTTTAGATGATAGAATTTCTCCATAACTGACTTTATGGATTTATAACATTTTAATACTCATAAACTGTACGTGTAATATTTTTAATACTTACTTTTTTATTTTAATAGATTCCTCCTGCATGGAAAAACTACTTTCAAAAGATTGGAAGGAAAAAATGGAAAGACTAAATACCAGTGAACTTCTTGGAGAAATTAAAGGTACAATATACAGAATATCAAACAGATCAATGTGGAGATGTTATTTTGTGTAACAACCCATTTGCCGATCTTCTGTACCCTAAACATTAATTCCTTACCTCTAATATTTGTTTATGTAAGGAGGGTAGATGCACAGTATGTCCTTGAACTTTTATTCTTTGTAATGTTTACAGAATAAAATTTTTGCCCTCTCTTTTTATTATTCTATAACATATAAATTATAGGATAAACTGCTTTATTAATTTACTTAACTAAAAAGTATGAAAATAAAAAATGTTATATCAAAGATGAAGAACACATTAAAGATAATTATAGTCTTTCCTCTTTAAGACAAAATAATAGCTTAATTTATGAATCCGAATTATTTTAATTTTTTTCTGATAAAAAAGGGTCAACTGTAGCACTTATTTAAAAAGACTTTCTAGGATATGCTTTCCATAATGGTTTATGGGTAGATTCTGAGGCCTGTTTACCTGTTCAAATCCTGGTTCTGTCATTTACTAGATGATTGACTTTGGGCAAGTCACTGTCTTCTCGATGTTTTGAATTCCGTGTGTCTAAAGTGGGGATAATAACAGTACCTACCTCACAGGCTCATTAGGAGAATTAATACATGTGAAGCTTTTAGCATAGCACCTGGCACTTAAGAAAGCACTCATGAGAGTAAGTTTCAGTTGTTGTTAATATTAACATACCCGTAGGTTGATAGGTTGATTAATCTTAAACAGATTTCACAGGATTTAAAATTTCATGACCTCTTACCCTGATGAGGATGAGCATTTTAATTTTTGAACTTATGTGACTGATGTTATTATTCTGATACATATTAAGAAGTGGACAATCCCAATACATTACAGAATTAATTTACCCTGTTGGCCAAGAAGTTATATTTCTTGCCCAACTCTCTCTTGTTGATTTTTTATGGAAATGAAGTATTGTATTATTAGTACTATATTTTTACTATCATGAATAGACTTCTAGGTCATTAATTAATTTTATCCATTGTTCCTTACAGACAATCATCATTCTCACTTGCACTAACAATTTTGGAAGTTAATTAGATTAGTTTTCTGAATTTATCAAACAGCTTCAGGTGAATCTTCTTATTGGTCATGGATAATAAATATCTCATTTAAGATGAAAATTTGGCAGTAACTATATGATAAAAGTGTTATTTTGAATTAAGTACAGAAAATTGGCTTGGGTTCTGAATGTTATATTCAACTCAAATGAGGAGAAAAGGAAGTCATCTCTTTCCCAAGGAATAATTAACAACTCATTCCATTATCTAATACAGTATCAAAATCAAGCAGAAATGTGATAGTATTTTGAATTTCACTGCTTCTGTTTTGTACTTACGAAGGCCACTTGCTATTTTGGAGGAGAAAAAAAAAAAAAACTCAACGTATAACTGATGGGTAGAAAGAAAGTCATTAGTGACATATTCTTTATCCAGCTGCAATAACATGGTGTGTGCTACTCTGCACGTCATTCTGTGTTTTCTTCCCTTTCCAAAGTCATTGATTTTATAACAGTGAGAACAGAAGTGGTTTATGCAAAGTCAAGCTTTCGCCAGCATGAATGATGGGGTCTTGCTTTCTTTCAGTGATGTGGAAGCTAGCATTTTATTATGTCATGATTGCCCATCGGGTTTATAAGCTTCGGGTTATCTTTTCTCCCCAGCCCCCACTTCCCATCTTACTTTTGAAAGTTCTAATTATGAATTTAAAATACAAAATATAAAAATTATAGTCGTCTCAGGTATTTCAAATATCTTGAAAGTGAAACACATTTACAAAATTAGGCTTTTCAAGTTCTTCGACGTGTTTTTTCTGGATTCTGTGTGAGCTAAGTGAACTGTCATCTGTGTGCTACTCTCAGTTTTATGGGCGTAGAAGATAATATTCTTATTAAATTTTTCATTTTGATTTATTCTATATAATGGTCTCTTCTTACATCCTAATATTTTGTCACCATAAAAGTATACAGAAAATATAACAATAATATAATAAAAATGAAAACATTTAAAGTAGTGTTCATAGAATAATTCAACCACTGCTAAAACTCAATGTAGAGTTTTAGTTGAGGTGAGATCAGGCCAATTATTACCCACCTAGATTAGCTGTAATTATTCTGTAATAACAAACTGATCTAAATACGATCTCCAAGAAAAACATACTGTAGTGGGTTATCAATATTTAATATTACATCTCCAGCATTGTGCATTTTTACTAACTCACTATTTTTTGCTTATTATAAAATTCATACGTATTTATTGTAAAAAGTATAGAAACGCACACAAAAGAAATTAAAATTGTCTTTTAATTCTACCTGTATTATATTGTATATCTTTTCCATTTTAATCTATGTATATACATGTTAATTTTGTTTCTTGACATCAGAATAATCTTTTTACTATTCTTTCGTAGTCTGTCTTTCCCATGTAAAGATATATTGTGAATTTCACTGTGATTAGTCATTTTTTTCTGCAGGAAATATTGCATAAAGTGAGGTTCTCATAATTCAACTGAGTCTTTCATTCAATATTTCAGTTGTTTGTCATTATAAAAAAACTTGAATGTGGATAACTTTTTAGTACTAACTATTGACTATTTTCTTAGAATATATTACTAAAAAGTGAAATTCTTGAGTCAAAGGGTTCTTTCTTAAGAGGATTTTGATACATGTTGCCACATTGCCCTGGAGAAAAGGTCTAGTGTTCTGTGTTCTCACTAGCAGTGTTTGCAAGTATTAATCCCTTAGCCTCAATAACAAATATTATTAACTTAAAAGTTTCTTGCCAGTTTGATAGGAGAAAATAACATATTATTGCTGAATTATTTTGAATTTTTTTATTATTGAGAAAGGAGAGTTTTACATAAATTTATTTATATTTAATATATCTTCCTTTGTGAATTGCCTATTTATGTTGTGTGCCCATTTTTTCTTTAAAGGATTTGCCTAGTTCTTATGGTTTTGTAAGGCTGTTAACGTACAGGGTGGAACAAAAATAGGTTCACAGTTGTTCATATGGAAAATAATACAGTAATTAAGAAATAATAATATAAGAATAAATTCGGTTTCATGTACTCACAACTGTAAACCTACTTTTGCGTCTGTATATTTTAATGGCATTCATTCTTATCTGTAATATATGTTACATTTTGTTATTTTCTTTACTTTATGGCTTTGTTGTCAAATCTTTCCTTCCCTTTTTTAAAACTTTGTTTTTCCTTTTGAGGATTTGTTTAGAATGTTTTCCCCCACTCAGAGATTAGATGATATTCTATATATTTTCTTCCAATTCTTTGTATTTCTATACATTTAACTTTTTAATTCTTCCTGAATGTATTTTGATGTATAATTTCATCAAGGTATAACAATTTTTTCTCAGGCAGTTAACCAAATATTTTGTATCATTTATTAAATAATCCATATTATCACTTCTGACTTGAAAGAACATATTTTACTGCCTACTAATTGCATATCTGGAACAATTTTTCAGTTTTTGGTTCTATTCTTATTGATCTTCCTATCTAAACTTTTGTTAGTGTTCTGCTATATTAATCACTATAGCTTTACAGTATCTTTGCAAAGTGTTGCAAGACCACATTCATAATTTTTCTTTAAGATGTTTGCATACATCACTAAAATTTGTTTTAGACTTATAATTATAAAGTGTTAATTGAAATTCCAAAGTGATATCTAAAAATATTATATTACCTTTATATAAAACTATGAGGTAAACTGACATTTTTATAGTATTGAATCTTCCCATTCAAAATCATTTATCCAATTTCTTTCATGTCCCTCAACAATGTTTTGTTTTTAAAATACAGATTCTGCATATTTCCTTTGATTTGTTTATAATAGTTAAATTTTTGCTTGCTTTTGTGAATGAGACAGTCTTCATTCCATTTCTTTTTGTTATTATATTTAGGAATGTTAGTGAATTTTGCTGGTTCATTTTATAATTTCCTTTTTTTATCAAACCTATTAGCTGTAATAATATTTCAGCTGATATGTTTTATCTTATATGTTTCTTTTTTCCACCCCTTCTCTTATTACACTGCCTAGAATGTCAAGAATAATATTAAGTAACACAGGTGATAGTAGGTATTTTGTGTAGTTTTTAAATAACGAAATTGTTTTTAATATTTCACCATTAAGTATTATATTGACTATTGATTTAAGATAGTCTTTATTATTTAAAAAACTTTAGTCACAGTTTATTAAGAGTTTCTGTGAGAAGTTGAATTTTATTTTATGGCATATATTATTGGTTTTTGTTTTTCAAATTTATTGATGAAATGGACCCCAATGAGTCATGGTGTAGTCTTTATTTTATTTTATTTTTTATCCTCACCCGAGGATATTTTTCCATTTTTTGTACAGATAGAGTGGGAGGGAGAGAGAGGAAGGGAGAGAGAGAGAGAAACATCGACGTGAAGGGACACATCGAGTGGCTGCCACCCGCACGACCAACCAGGGCCGGGGACAAACTGCAACTGAAGTACGGTGCCCTTAGCGGGAACCGAACCCGGGTCTCTCCAGACCGCAGGCCGACGCTCTAACCGCTGAGCCAAACTGGCCAGGGCTCATGGTGTAGTCTTGTTTTAATGTTCTACATAATTTTGTTTGCTTATATTACAGTTGTTATTTTTACATCTGTAATCATAAATGAGATTAGTGGTTTTCTTTTTTTTAATAAATTTTGTATTTATTTTTTTGTTACAGATATTTTACCTTTTTTACCCCATTGGCACCCCCCTCCCCACCCCATCCCCCCGGCTCCATCCCCGGCTTAGTTGTCCATGTCCATTGGTCATGCATACATGCATATAAGTTCTGTGGTTTATCTCTTCCCATCTCCCTCACCCCCTCTTCTGAGGGATGTCAGTCTGTGCCCTACTTCCATGTTTCTGGGTCTACTATATTCCTCAGACTGTTATGTTCATTATATTCCGTATATAAGTGAGATCATGTGGTATTTGTCTTTT